TCGTTATGATCCCACAAGAGAGGACCATGCAGTTTTTGAAAGGAAGCCAAGTGCTGCAGAAAAGGAGAGGTAATATTGCAGCTTGGTAACTATAGTTGTGATGTTTCTTCCTGTGGAGAGACGGTTTTAGCAGCAGACTGAGTTTGAAACTATGCACACTACTCTGTTTTTTCTTTAGTTCTCTCTGTGATTGCTAAAATGAACATACAGTAGGGATTGTGAGCACTAAAACCAGCCTGTAATGTCGTCTTTTCTTGCTAGTCCATCTACTCTCTGCGTGCCATTTCCTGTCCTCACTGAAGGTGAGAAAGGTCAAGTCACGGTCTTGAAGATTTGCTCTTAACATTTCTCTTGCCAGAAAAGAAATCTGTTCTAAATATCATCATTTAGTATCACATACTAAGTGAAAAGTCACTTAAGGATGTGGGTCATTAAAAAGGAGGCTTGTTCCTGCCTTTAGAATCAAACCTCAGATGTTTCCCCCCACTGCTTACCCTTAAAAGTGAACTCATCAGTGTGCTTGGAGAAGTTTAGGAAAACATTGAGCGAGGCGGGCTCTTAGGGCTCTGTTTTCTTTTAAAAACAGATGTGTTATGTTCCTACCCTTGAACAATCTCATTTCAGTAAAGTTAAAGGGAAGAAGAAGAAGGAGGAGAGTGAGAAACCGCCTCAAGTATCTGAGAAAATCTATTATGATATTGCTGCTGATTTAAAAGACTTGTTTGGATCCTCGAAGAACACATCAGAAAAAAAGGAGGAAATACCCTGGGACAAGGGTGATGCAGAGGACTCTGCCTCACCTGACCATTTGGGACCTACATCTGGGAATGATGCAGCTCAGGAGCCGAGTGGCTTCAAGTTTTCCTTCTTTGGAGACACGGAGAAGTCGGGCGTAAAAGAAGGTAAGAGCAGAACACGCCCAACAGTGCCATTTGTAGTGGGTCAGTTGTGTCAGGCACTGCAGAGGAATATGGTGCATAGAAATTCTGAATCCAGGGGATTTTCAGAGGCCAAAGTCAGTAATGAGGCAGAATCAGTATGATCTTCACTTACACTTGCCAAGATGCACGTTTGGCTTCCATCCCTGAGAGGGATGTTTGGAGAAAGAACAAGAACCAATTGTTTAATTGGTTTTTTGAACAGTCATGGAAAAGCTTGTTGCCATCCACTAAAGTTCTCAAACAGGGGAAAAAGGTGATCTACAAGTCAAATAAAGTTCCGTGTAATCCAACGAGATTTTAAATAAAATGTGTGTTAATGTAGTAGTATGAGCAAAAGAAAATCTTAGAGTTGACCCCAAGAACACTCCAGAACACTTTATTGTTTACCTAATTTTACTGTTGTACCTTTAGAAAATTGAAACTGAGTGACACATGATTATTGGGGTGTCCTAAACTAAGATAAAATTGTTATGCAATCAAGATTAAAAAATGCTAAATCAAGTCAGTTAGTGAGGCAGGAAATAAATTAAACCATGTGAAGTTAACTGAAATATTAAAAGAAAAAAACACACAAAAAAACCAAGGTCCCCACATTTCTGCTGACTTCACTGTCTTCTGAATGCAGTAAAAAGGTTTCAGAATACATAAGAGGTCCCTAGAACAAAGTGGAAAATACCTGAGCAGAGATGTAGCTCAGAAAACCTGGGAGGGGAGGTTTCTCTCCTCCTTAAACCTGCCTTTTCCCGTGTAAGTATGTCACTTGGAAGTAGGATTTTTTTACTGGCAAGTAGAAGAATAATCTGCTTTTTTTTTTTTTAATTGTAATATTATTGCAGAGCCCTACATACTTGAAACAATAAAACCTGTAAAAGTCACATGGCAAGAAGATCCACGTTTCCAAGACAGCAGTTCTGAGGGTGATGAGGAGCCAGAGGCATCAGAAGTTGAAAAGGACCAAGAAATGCAAGTTATAGTTGTATTTGTTGTCTACTTGGTTGTAGTACTTTGATGCTGTGAGAATATTGATAGCAGCACCCAGGTCATGGGAAGCTGAGATCTTTGTGTCACACCTCTGAGCAGTGGAAGTTGTCTTGGAAAACCACTCCTTGCTGCACAGAGTGTAATAGTCAAAAACCCCAACAGCCCCTTTGATGTCACGCTGAGCATAAAAAGACAAAAGCTGAGTTTCTGGTTGAACACCTGAGAAATCAACTGGGTAATTTTGGTTTGACCCAAACCAATTTTGGTTTGGCTAAAACTCAAAGTAAGTTTTCTTTTAAAAAATGGTTTGGTTTTGTTTTTTTGGTTTTTTTTTTATAGAAAGCCATATTTGGTTACTGTGGAGTAATGTTCTTGGATGCATTCTCTTTCTCTGAAGCTTTAACTTGTGTTAGTGGAATTTGATGGTAACTTTTGTGATGGTAGAATTCCCCTGTGTTTGTCCAGGTTTATTTCTTTACCACACAGAGAAAGTACAAGATTTTTCTTCTTCTCCAGAAGAGGTACAACAGAACTTACTCACTTTCACTCCTTTTTTTTTTCTTTTAACTCATGCTGAAATTCAGTGAGGAAAAAATACTGCCTGGTTATTTGTTTTGTAACACAGATGAGAGGTTTAAGAAAAAAAAAAATTAAATTGCCAATTTCCATCTTTACTTGTGGTCTGAATTGTGGTAGAATCCCATGAGAAAGTTCTGGTAAAATAAATGCTGAATTTATTGCTGAATAAATGCTTGCTTTCCTTTTTTTTCAGATAATTGCCTAATATGTGGCTGGTCTTTCAGGCCTTACCAAAAAAAAAAAAAAAATCACTTGACAAGTTATCTGGACATTTTGGATCCTTTCAGGCATATATATGATCTTTAACTTTCTTTAGTCTTTCTGGTGTTACTGTTAGAAATGCTGAATATTCTTATTAGCCACATATGCCCATGTGGTTCTCAATCCTAATTAATCTGGGGGTTTTTTTTGTATGAATATAGTGAGTTTTTTATTTAAAACCAAACCAAACACCACACCCCCAAAAAATTTCATAGACCACAAAAACAATTGCTTGTGATGTTTTATGCACTAAATTATCAGGACAACCTCAAATAATGTTTGTTTCTTGAGACATATTAGGTAACTATCATTAAATATGTTGCTGTATTAGTACAGTTACTGTACTGCAATCTTCCAACCTGTTAAAAGTGAAATCCCAATCCTTAGCAGGCACGAATTTTCTTGGGAGATGTGGGATAATGGTGCTGAGCTTTTACTGAAACAGATGCTATTTCAGTGCAATTTATATTTTGGCATATTAAGGAAAACTGCTGCTGCCTTTTATTTTTCTTAGTACACAAAGCAGACATTCAGAACATTTTGTGGGAGCCAACCATGTTGTGAGGGGCAAGAGATTATGAATTATATGAGTTTTACAAACAGCAGCATAGTCAGAAGTGTTTAACCATATTAATTTGTTCTTTTTTGTGCAGAGGGCCCTAAGTTATTTTGTAGATCAGTAGATCTCAGTGAAGAAAAAGATGGTTGGGAAGACAGACGTAGATTATTGCTTGAGGTGAGTATTTAACAGGTGTGGCTGACAGCTGAGCATGAGGAGGGAACACGGCTGCTTATTTGCATAAAAACATAATTCAGGACCTCTAGAAAGGCTTGAAATTTTGTAATTACCAAGGAACTAAACTTTTTTAGTATAAAAGTGAGTATAACACCATGTTAGGATGTCCAGTCAGGCAAATTACTGAATCTCTGTGTCGTACAGGAACCAGTTACTTAACTGTATGTTAAAAAAGTGTTTGAGACAAATAGGTGAATTCAGAGACTTGTATTATTCATTATTATTTTATTCATAATATTATATTTTAAATATTTTCAGGAATGCCGGAAGAAGCACAAGGATGCAAAAAGAAAAGTGAAAGCAAAACAATAAATATTTTTTACCTTACTGATCAGAAATGTTTCATGTTTGATCTTTGAAGAAGTTGCAAAACAATGTTACTTTCAAAATACTTTCAGAAATCTAGTAGGAAATAGTAATTTTGGCAAAAACTACTCAGACTTTGTTTCTACATAGGAACATGTTTATTCTGTCAGTTCAATGTTTGTACCAAGGTCTGGGAATTTGTATGTGTGTGTACATATATATATATGTATATATATACACACACACATATATATATGTATATGTATATATATACATATACATATGTATATGTATATATATACACACATATATATGTATATATAAATATACATAGGGTTTAAATGTGATAAATATACATATATATATATATGCATATATAAATATACATAGGGTTTAAATGTGACTTGCTGCTTTCTAGGATTTTTGATAATTAGATCATGTAACAAAGACATTCTGCTGTGTCCTCTGGCCCCAGTGCTGCACAGGGCTGAGAAAGAGCAGATAGCTCTGTGTCTGTAAGACTATAGAACTTGTATTCTGCCTAAATATAATAGAGATCATATTTACAAATATTCAGAATGTGTTATTTGCAGGGTGAAATGTCCCAGAAGTTAATGAAAAGACATATATAACAGGGCAGACTTATGAAATGGGTAATTTGTATTTTAAGAGATGCTAATGTGTTTAAATATAATATTAATAATGCTGTCCTAACAGCATTGAGTTGAAGGTGGTGGTTGTCATAGGTTTGAAAAGAGATGTTGGAATTTTCTTTTTCTTCCCTAGGGTCCCAACCCGCCCCCCATATCTGTTTCTTCCGGGATGGGGGGAGTTGGGGACGGGGTGGGGGCAGAGCGGGGCCGCACATGCAGGAGCGGGGAGAGAGGGAGATCTCCTGGGGAACTTTGTGGCTGCAGGGAGAGCTGGGGGAGTCCTTTGTTCGGGGGCTCTTGGGTTTGGTCCAGGACTGGACAGAGCGGGAGCCCGGTCTTTGGCCACTTCTTTCCCTTTTCCTGAGGGGAAGTTTTTCTCCCCATGGGACACCTTGTGGAGGAGGACTGAGAGAGAGAGAGACCGGCCCATCTCAGAGTGAGGCATTCTGCTTTCAAGACTGCCTGTGGGGAAAAAGGGACTTCTTCTTTGCTGGCTGT